GCCCGGGGGGCCGGGCCCCCGCCATTCCCGGACCCGGGAGGAGGGGACGCCGCCGAGGCTGCCTGGCTCAGCCCTGAAGGGGTGGGCTCCGGAAACGTTTGCTGGGGGCCCTGGTCCCCGCCCCCAACCTTGAATGTGGGGGTCCGCGGTGCGATCGGCAGGTTGGCAGTCGGGGGGCGCCGGGGTGCCCCGTGGGGGGCGTGCGGGGAGCAGGTCCCGGGAGGGGGCGGGGGCTGCCCAGCTCCCGAGGAGGTGGAACCGGCTGTCCGCCTCCCCCTGGTGCAAGTTTCGGTCCCCGGGGAGACGTGTCCCCTTTGCAAGTTTCGTTTGCCTCGGGAGTCCAAGCGGGCAGTACTAAGGCAAACTTCGTTCTTTTAAATTACTGCCTTGGTGCGCGGAACTCTGTGTCGCCCAGGCAAGGGGAGGATGGGGTGAATGAGGGATTTGGAAAGCTTGGAAATCTGTGCGCCTTTGCAAAGTTTGCAAAAATAGTTTGGAGCTCGCAGCTGTGGGATGGTGCGGAGTTTCTGATGCGTGAGAACGGGTTACTCGCAGGTGTTTTAATGCCAGAAAATGAGAGAAGTCTGTGAATCGACGGGTGGACATTTCTGTCACTTGAAGGTTCAAGTCTCTTTCCTTTTTCTCCTATTCTTTTCACCACCACTCCCTCCCCGTTTAATCTGCTGATGCTTTTTAGACAAGAGACTTTAACGTGACCTGTTCCTTATGGTACTGGGAAGGTTTATTGAATTGGGACAATGACCACTTGGAAATAATGCGACACGAGTGGAAAAAATGTTGAGATACTGTTTTTAAATATTTAGTATGGTGGAAGAATATTATTTTAATCGTTTTCTTTTTAAACATAATTACATTTTTGGGATAGAAATGTACTCTTTCATAGGCTAGAAAAGTTGCACAGAACTTTGGCGATTACTCTGGCCAACTCACTCCTATATCTGAACCTCAGGGGGAACCCAGGGTACTTTTTTCTTTCCTGATGTCATCTTATATTTAATACATTGGGCAGTGTTAAGTGAAGAGTGGTTTATTTTCTTTAGTTCTAATTCAGCCAGACCCTAATATTAGCAAAAAATATTTGAATTTGTCATTCATTTTACATTTTTTTTTTTTGAGAGATTTTTTGCTACAGGGCACAGTGTACTTGCCAGAAAGACAGATAGGGACAGAGACAGAAAGGGAATCACCCCCCTTGGGAGATGGCCATCCCCTCGCTTCCATTTTTCCTCTTGGGATTTTGGCCACGCAGGCACATGTGCCTGGCGTGAGTTTTAAGCCACTGGGTCTGGGGCTTTAACTGGGATTGACTATGTGGAGTCCAGCAACGTGACGACTATGCCATTTGCTGGTCCTGAATTTGTCTTTCTTTTACTATAAGATTTGCTGATGTGGATTCATTCATTGCTTAACATGAATGTTGAACCTGTGTTCTGTATAAGCAAAAAAAAAAAAAAATCAAAATAGAAAAGAAAAATTGTATTAAATATAAATAAATATAAATTAAAACATTTTTAAAAATGATTTATTTATTATTTAAGTTTTTCTGTAGGGCATGTTTGCTCACCAGAGAGAAAGAAAAAGAAAGAGAGAGAAGGAGGAAGGGAAAGTGAAAAAGCAAGCTACTAGGTTCGGGACCTGAGCGATGGTTGGCTATGTGGGAGTCTGGCCCTTTAACCACTACACCATCTGTGCCCTAATAGTAAGGACAGTTATCCTGAGTTAACAGAGATTCATTTTTACTGATTATATGTTTAAAGAATTAATACATTTTCACAAAGGCATTTATAGAAGCATGGTTTGCAAACATGCAGAATCTAGGCCTGAGCCTCAGTTTTGTTGTCTACTTACTGTTAGTAATACTTACTGTTAGTACTGGTGTTCCGTAAGGATAGTCTCTTAACAGTTTTAATGTTTTGAGGGGCAAATAACTGCTGGTTAGGACGAGTGACTGGCTTTGGGTAAACAAGCCAGGACGTGGAAGTGTCAGATTTGGTACCATTGGTTCATTGAGTGTTCATCCTTACGCATTATTGGGAGCCAAGAGGACTACTTGATCCAGTTTGGGTCTCCAGTTCAAGTAGAGGTTGCACTGGTCAGTCTTTGTCACCATGTGCCTGTCTCTATCAGTTACAATTACATTTTGTAGCCAGTGAAGATAAATAAAAGACCAGGGCATTCATAGCCGACTGAAAACAAACTTACTTTAGTTTAAAAGTTCATGGAATGGGACTAGCAGGTGGCTTGAAGGTTAAGTTGGCTGAATCCCACATGGCTGATTTCTTGGGCTGGGGCTTGAGAAATATGTCGGTTTGCGTGCGCTCCTCGTGTCTAGAGGAGAGGAGGAAAAGGGATTACAGAGTGGCCATTCCTCTTGAGGGTGACTTCTCACTTTTTTCTCTCTCTGTCTCTCTTCAGGAAGTCAGGTGCCCTATAGCAAAGAAAAATAGTGCATATAACATGAAGGCAGTTTGACATGGCAAAGACAACTTTGGGAATTGCTAAGTCTGGTAGAAAGAAAAGTGATTCCATTTTCTGATTTACAATTGAATTATTTTAACCATTCTTGTTTTGTAACCAGTGCAATTCAGACCACTAGTAACTTGAAAGTTAATAGTTTGTCCTCTCAGTGTGCTTTTTGAAGAGAATATTTCATTCTCAGGTATGGTTTAATTGTAGATTTTTTTCCCAGATGATTTTTCACTAGGTATCTCCATTTCTACAGTAGAAGTCAATACAAAGAAAAATGGAAAGAAGTCTGACTTCTTACTTTAATTTTATACTTTTGCCTTAGGGCATGTGTGCTTGTTGGAGAGAGTGAGACAGAGAATGAAATTGAGGAATCATCCCCCAAGGGGGATGGTCATCCTGCAATCTCTTCTTCATTCTCCTCTTGGGATTTTGGGCAAGCACGCACACACATCCAATGTATTTTTCAAGCTGCAGGGTCTGGAGACGTAGAGTAGGTCATGTGGGATCCAGTACCTTAATTACCATACCACCTGTTGGCCCTGAAAGAAGTCTGACCTCTAGCATACCTATATATAGCATTTGGTGTTTGAGTGTGGGTATTAGAGTCATAGAGACTTGTTTTCTCAACTGGTCTATGTCATTTTCAGGCTATACCAGGGGACTTCAAAAAGTTTGTGGAATAATACAATTAGAGTGCATGTTTATTTTGGTGCCAAAAAAGTTTGAAATTCATGCATAGTTTTTTCTTTTTTTAAGTTTACTCATTTATTTCTTTGGTGAGTGAGAGACAGAGAGACAGCGCCCTAACTGGGTCTTGATATACCATCCACTCCCTGCCTTAGCCAGCCCTGGATCATAGTCACATGCATGCCCACCGTACTCAGAGAGGTCTTCAGACACAAACTGGAACTTACCCGTGTGGGTTAGCTTCGAAGAGCTAAAAAGTTTTACCACTGCACCACAGTCCAGTCCCCACTCATAATTTCTTCATAGTATGTAGTTTTCATGAACTTTTGGAAGACCCCTCTCATATACTCTCATGTAAATTACTTAATTTTTAAAAGTTTTTTTTTTTCTTTGTAAAATTGGGGGAGAATTGAGTTCAAATGTGTTTGTTAGTTCATTGAGTATTTCTTGCGTGCCTTCTGTGTAGCCCAGGACTTTGTGTTCAGTACCCTGTTCTCAAAGCAGGTAGGCTAAGTCTTGAAGTAAAGTATAGGGAGCTCTAAAACCTATGACCAAGGAATCTAACTTGACTTTGGGGAAGTCAGGGCGAGTTTCTCTGAGAAAGTGACTTGTAAGACCTAAAGGAGGAGGGAAAAGTAGGTGAAAAAAGAACACAGGTGAATGGAAAAGTTTGAGGTTGCTGAAGAGATGGTTAAATAAGAATGCTTGAATGTTAATTATTTTCTTCATGGCACATAAACAGTCATTGTTGGATATATAGAGAAGGGTTCTGATGCCATTTTCTAATCAGCTGAATGAAGTGGCTGAGCTTCGTTGCATAGACAATATAGAAAGAGAGTCTGACTCTAACCACACTGGACCCGGAAGTGACTCTCCTACACCCTTTGATGTCTACTTTTATAACTCGTATTGGTTTATTTGTTAGTTTCTGTAGCTGTAAAACTGAGATTAAACGTTAAATGTTCTTTGATTTCTTTACAGATACTTTATGTTGTCAAGATAATATATTGATTTCATTTTACCTTTGAAGAGCTTAGACTTACCTTATTTAAAATGCCCACTCTTGGGGCTGGCAGGTAGCATCATAGTTAAAGTGCTGGACTCCTACATGGCCGACCACGGTTCAAGTCTCAGACCTGGTGGCTTGCTTTCTCACTTTCCCTTTCTTTCTCTGTCTCTCTCTGGTCAAATTAAAAAATAATAATAAAAGAATAAAGTTGAATAAATAATTCTTTTTTTAAAGAATTATTAAATTAAGCAATTAACTAATTAATTTTAACTTGACCAGAGAGGGACACAGCGACAGAGAGAAAGGAAAAGTAAGAAAGCAAGCCAGCAGGTGCAGGACTTGAACTGAGGTCTGGGGTTGGCCATGTGGGAATCCAGCTCTTTTTTTTTTTTTTTTTTTTGAGAGGTTTTTTACTATAGGGCTCGTGCGCTTGCCAGACAGACAGAGAGAAACAGAGAGACAGAAAGCAAGAAATCACCCCCCAGGGGGAATGGTCACGCCGCAATCCCTTCTCCATTCTCCTCTCGGGATCTTGGGCACACACGCACACGCGCCCAGCATGGGTTTTAAGCCACCGGATCTGGGACGCGAACCGCGGTTGACTACGTGGGAGTCCAGCGACATAGCCATTACGCTAACTGCTGGTTCCCGAGTCCAGCACTCTTAACCACCACACCACCTGCCGTCCAAATAAATAATTCTTTTAAAAAAAAAAATGCCCACTCTTGGGTCCAGTGGATGGCATAGTGGTTAAGATGCTGGACTCCCACATGTCCGACTGTGGTTTGGGTCCTGAATCTAGTGGCTAGGAACTTAGACTAGGCACATGTGCGTGCAAGTCCAAAATCCCAAGGGGAGAATGGAGGGGAAGGGGTTGTGTCCAGGATGGTGAGTTCCCACTTTCTCTTTCTTCTCTCTGGCAGATTCACACACCCTATAGCAAAAAATAAACTCAAAATAAAATAAAATAAAATG